TGCCTCTACTTACGAAAATAGTAAACTAAGCAAATACTGCATTCCTGGAGGGATTGTAAAAATTGATGCCATCATTAAGGACTTTAAAGATGCCAGGGGGCTGATTCCTACTACATCCTCCTTCAACTTGCCTATTTGATCAGAAGACAGATCTGAGAGAATGATACTGGATTACTATAAACTTAATCAAGTGATGACTCTAATTGGAGCTGCTGTACCAGATGTGGTTTCATCACTAGAGCAAATCAATACAACATTTGCTACTTGGTATGCAGCTATTAATCTGGTGAATGCTTGTTTCTGTATACATTTTAGTAAAGACCATTAGAAGCAGTTTGCTTTTAGCTAGCAGGGTCAGGAGTATACTTTCACTGTCCAATCTGAGGGCTATGTAAACTCTCCAGCCCTATGCCATAATCTAGTCTATAGAAACCTGCATCATCTTTCCACTCCACAAGATATCATGTTAGTCCATTACATTGATGATATGCTGATTGGACCTGGTGAGCATAAAGTAGAAACTACTCTAGACTCATTGGTAAGACATATATGCCAGAAGATGGGAAATAAGTTCTTTGAAAATTTAGGGGCCTGCCACCTCAGTTAAGTTTCCAGGAGTCCAGTGATATGGGGCATGTCAAGATACCTCTTCCAATGTGAGCAACAAGTTGCTTCATCTGGCACCTTCTGCCGTTAAGAAAGAAGCACAACAGCTAGTGTTGTCTTTGGATTTTGCATGTACTGTTCTGACCCATTTACCACGTAACCAGAAAAACAAAGTTTTAGTGGGTTCCATAAAAAAAGAAGGCTCTGCAAAGAGAAGATGCAGGCTGACGTGTACGCTGCTCTGCTACTTGGGCCGTATGATTTTAGTAGTAGACCCAGTGGTGATTGAAGTGTCTATGGCAGATAGAGATGCTGTATGGGCCTATAAGTGAATAATAATGTAGATCTTTAGGATTTTGAGCACAGCTATGCACTGCAGATAACTATTCTTCTTTTGAGAAATAGCTCCTGGTTTGCTACTGGGCCTTAAGAGACTGAAGGCTTGGCTACTGAAGGTTACCAAGTTTCAGGCCTGAGTTGCCCATCAGGAACTGGATGTTGTCTAACTCACCCAGACATAAAGTTGGTGTGTGCAACAGAATTCCCTCATCAAGGGCAAGTGGTGTATATGACACTGGGCTCAAACAGATCCTAAAGGCACAAGTGAGCTGCATGAGGAAGTGGCACAAGTAAATAAAATGCTTGAGTCCATGGCCCATACGCTTGCCACACTGGCTTTTCCCTGTCAACTGGCAACTATGGCCTCATGGGGAATTCTCTGTGACCAACTGACTTAGGAAGCAAATATTTAGACTTGGCTTACAGATATTTCTGCATGATATGTTGGCACTACCAGTAAGTAGCAGTATAGTCGTAGTCTGGGGTGGCCCTAACGGATGGTGATAACAGAAAATTCTCCCAGAGGCAAAACTTTGAGTGCACATTCTGGATGTTTATTTTGCCGGGGAGAAGAGATGTCAAGCAGTACTTTTCTATGTCAACTCATGTTGTTGCTGTCGGGTTGGCTCCGATTCATGGTGATCTTATGTGTAACAGAATGAAAGGCTGCCCATTCCTGCACCATCTTCAGGATCATTGGTATGTTTGAGTCCATCGCTGTGGCTATTGTGTCAGTTCATCTCATTGGGGGCTTCCATCGTTTCACTGGCCCTCTAATTTACCAAACATGATGTCCTTTGTTAGCAATTGGTCTTTCTTGATGATGTGTCCAAAATAAGTAAAATGAAGTCTCACCATCCTTAGAGTATTCCAGTTGTATTTCTTCTGATTTGTTCATTCTTCTAGCTGTCTATTGTATATTCAATATTCTTAACCAACATCACAATTCAAATGCATCAATTCTTGTTCTGTCTTCCTTTTTTCATTGTTCAGCTTTTGCACACATATGAGGCAATTGAAAAGACCATGGCTTAGGTCAGGTGCACAGTAGTCATCAAAGTGACATCTTGCTTTTTAAAACTTTACAGCAGTCTTTTGTAGCAGATTTGCCCACAGCCAGTGGCTAATGGTTTAGCCAGATGGTCAGGGGCTTGGAAGGAACACGACTGAAAAATAGGTGATAAATGTCTGGGGAAGAGGTATGTGGCTAGACTTCCGTGAATGGACTCAGAATGTGAAGATATTTGTGCCCCACATGAATGCTCAACAAAGGACAGTCTTAGCAAAGGAGGATCTTAATAATCATAACAACAAGATGACTCATTTGTGGACATCAGGCAGCCTCTTTCCTCAGTTACCCCTTGTCCTTGCCCAACAGACTCATATACAAAGCTGCCATGGTGGCATGGATGGAGGTTATGCATGGGTACAGCTACAGCAGCAAAAACTTCCACTCACCAAGGCCAATCTGGCTGTAGCCACTGCTGAATGTCCATCTTCTCAATAGTCCCCAGTATAACACCATTCCTTGGGGGAATCACCCAGCCACCTGGTGGAAGGTTGATTACATAGAACTGCTTCCATCATGGAAGGGGTAGAGTAGCACTTTGTTCTCACTGGAATAGACACTTAATCTAGATGTTGATCTACCTTCCTTGTCTGCAATGCTTCTACCAAACCTACCATCCATAGACTTACAGAAAGCCTTATTCACTGTTGTAGTTTTCCACAGAACATTACTTACGACCAAAGAACTTATTTACAGTAAATGAAGTGCAGCAATGGGCACATGCTCATGGAATTCATTGGTCTTTCCATGTTCCCCATCACCTTGAAGCAGATGGCCTGATAGAACAGTGGAATGGCTTCTTTTTTTTTAGTTATTGTGGTGAAAATATACACAACAAACATTCACTAGAGCAACAGCTTCCACATTTCCAATTCAGTGTGGAATGGCTTTTTGAAGACTTAGTTTCAGTGACAGTTCAGTGGCGTCTTGCAAGGCAGAGGTAATGTTCTCTAGTAGGCAATATATGCTTTAAGTCAGTGACCACTATGGGACCTCTTTTTTCCCATAACGAGGATTCACAGGTCTGAAATCAAGGAGTATGTACACGTAGAAGTGGCTCTTTCGCTGTTACTCCCAGTGATTCACTTGTGAAATTTTCGCTTCCTGTTTCCACATCTTTGGGCTCTGCTGTCTAGATGTCTTAGGACAGTGGTGGATTTGCACTGTGTCACTTTACCTAGCAGTAACTACATTTTTCAGAATTCCTTTCCCTTTATTCACTGTGTTAGTGCTCCTGAGATTTAGAAGGCAGAAGCGAAGCAGCAGCCAAATACTTTTTACGCTTGGAAGGCACATTTGCAGCACATTTTTGCTCATCCCCTGGCTCACCTTGTTAACATGGGGCAGCAACCAGGCCCGCAGTTCCTAAGGCTCCTGCTGAATTTCCTCCTTCACCTTCTCTGACTCTTTGGCCAGGTCGTGTTTACTCCTGGATGAAGGGCATCAGCTGCTTCTGTAGGTCACTCCCAGCATTGAATTCGGAGGCTTGAAGATGGTGAGAGACCCACGAAGTTTCCAGTCCATCATTGTGGGTTCCAGCTCATTCTTGCAGGTTCCAGATTATCCTTGCTTCCCTTCTTTGCATCATCTTTCCGTCCTGCTTACCCTGCCCACTTCAGGCCCCAGCTCTAGATATGTAAGTAAGAGCCTCACAATTGTATAAGGCCAGATACCTATAATAAATTCTCTATTATATCTCACTACTAGTAGTTTTGCTTCTCTGATCAAACCCTGACTGATCCACCCACCATACCGAGCTATGTAGAGTTCCAGTAACATGTTGTGCTTCCATGTCTTTGTATTTTCCTCCGCCTAGAATCCTGATCTCCTTCTCTGCCTAATTTATTCCTCCATGTCCTTGACTCATCACACACTTTACCTCCTTAGAGAAGCCTCCCCAGACTTCCCAGTCCTAGTTAAATGCTCCTCTTTTGTGCTTCCATGGCAACCTGTGCTTTCTCTGTCCAACACCTATCACTTTATAGCACCACAATTGTATTCTTCTGTCCTTGGTTTTCCTCCCTAAGGAGACTAAACTATTTGAGGGACTGAGTCTCATCCTTGTATCTCTTAGGCCAGTACAGTGTCTGGCACATAGCAGGTGCTCAGTAAATGTTTGCTAAATAATTAAAATAAGGACTGTAACTACATAGTTACTTACATTTGGTTTTTGTTGTATTTTATTCAAGACTCAGATCTCACAGCTCAGCGTAATAATTACCACATAACTCCCTACTTGAAAGTCCCATGCCTATCATTCCATAATCCCGGAGATACTCTTAGGCTGATTCCACTCTGCACAGAATGAAGTGGATATAAGAACATTGTGACTTGTTCTCATTAACTAGAGAGAAAAAAAAAAAAGATAATTTAGGTCTTATAGTGGATTTCTTGTTAGAACTATCTGATTTAACTGTTGATATAGCTTGAATTAACCAGGTAATTTTAAACCTGTTCTTTGGATTTGATTCCATAGGTCTTGCTTAATTTCTGGATTACAACAAAAATTTGTTTAAAATTCTCTATTGCTCAAACATGTAATAAAAGGAGGACAGGAATACTTATGGGCTCTAATTATGTCTTCTTCCCAGTTAAACTACTTTAGTATACACATCTGCTGTTCAAATAGCCAGTGAACACGTGGGAGTTTCACCTTAACTCTTAGCTGTGCAATACAGGGTAGGAGTTATGCCCACTGCGCTTAGCTATGTGATACAGGCTGGGAACTATGACTGCCGCTCTTAGCTGTGTGGATAAGGTGGTAACTATGACCACTGCTTTTAGCTGAGTGACGTAGGGTGGGACATATTCGCTCCTCTTTTCACTATTATTCTTTTCAGGATAACAGAACCCACCACGCTGGTTCTCTGCATGGGGTTTTGAGTCAGTGCTGAAAATCCTAAGAAATATTAAGTCCACAACTGGACAACAACCCCAGCCAACTGAAGATCAATAAATTTTGTACTCTTCCTCACCCATTATACTTACCCAAGGCTCTCCCCTTACTTGCCTAACCTCACCCTTTCAAAACAAGTATTGTCTTGACCAAATATTCTTCTTCTAATATAAATGAATAAAAAATATTCTCAAAGACAGCTGGACACAAGATACAAATTAAACAGGTTACCTAGAGTCACAGCTCCTACAACAAATCCTTGTGCAGCAACTCTCATGTGAATAAGATGAATGGACATTTTCTGATCTCTTCTGTACTTTAACTTGTAAAGACCATAGGACACCACAGCCACAAAGCCTGCTATTCCTGAGAATTGAAAAAATCAGGGTTATGTAAATAGCCGGACAGTATTCCCAAGAGCTTACATTGTTCAATGAAAGAATTTACAAAGTACCTGGAAGATAAGCAGGCCAGATACCAAAGAATACTTAAAAAAAACAGAACCATGCTGGATTTGACCTGCCAGATTTTAAAATGTGCCCTAAGCATTCTTGAATTCAATCGTTGCAGTTTTGTCTCTTCCCAGAAAAACTTGTACCATATAGTACAGTAATTTGTCTAGAACCTTGTAATTTTCCTGAGGCACGACTTCAGATTGTACACGCTGCAAGGCTATTATCTGGGGTGAGTCACTTAGCCAGTGAGTAAACCTACCAAATATCCAGCATCCAGCTTTTTAGCTTTTGGCTTTGCTCCTTTCTACTTGTCATCAAATGAGTAAATCTAGTCAAGTGATAAAAACTTTTTCTCTAAAAAAAGAGAGTTACATTTTAGTGAGAGTTGGAAAAGATATGAACATATGCACAATAAGTATATAACTCTGGGAAGAACTGTGATTCTAGAAAAGTATATAAAAATGTGATTGATTTTTATGTGGAATAGCAAGTTTTGATGAACTATGCTGGTACATGTGTGTTTCTATGTGTGGGTGAGGGTGTTTGTATTCTTTCAGGATCCATTTAATAAGTGGAAACAAGAATCAGAGTAAATAATCACATTTAATGTATATTTTTATAGACTGATTATCAGTGATTAAAATTAAAATTAAAATGACTGATGCACTACTGGAGTCCTGGTGGCACAGCGGTTAAGAACTTGGCTGCTAACCAAAAGGTCGGCAGTTTAAATAAACCAGGCGCCCCGTGGAAACCCTATGAGGCCCTTCTACTCCGTCCCCTAGGGTCACTCGACAGCACTGGTTTTGGTTTGGGTTGGGGTTTGATGCAGTACAAACACAAAAACAGCAAAAAACAAATGACAATAAAACGATGATTGTAGGCACATGGAAAAACAGGTACAACGCTGTCATCTCTGTCACTCTGGCCAAATCTTTCTAGAAATAATTCTAGAAATATGTAGTAAATGATATTAAACTGAACATGATTTCTTCCCTGGAAATTCCACTTTTGGGAACATACTCCAAGGAAATAACTAAAACAAAATTCAAGAAATTGACATAAAGATGTTCCTGGCTGTTCCTGGCTACACTATGTGTGGGCAAAACTAAATAACCCAAACGGTCCAAACAGAGGAAAAACTGCCATAGCTATTAAAAAATTATAAATACGTAAAGTACTAATACACAGAAATGTACATATGAAGTGTTAAGTGAAAAGAATAAAACCAAATAATCTGTCAGCACAGATTTTCAATTCATATAATCTATGCAGAGACCTTACCAGTGGTCCTAAAACGATTTTAAGCAACGTAAATAGAGTTTTACATGAATAGATTTATGATGATGGAAGTTGTTTAAGATAACAAATAGGAATATTTTGTTCCTGTGGCAGGAACTTCATTGTAGATATTGTTAAAATAACAATAGCTGAACAAAACTATTCAATGATATATATCCAATTTTTATCATTATTTACTTTCTGGGAAAAAAAAAAACAACAACTGGCTTTCTTCCCTTGACTAAATCAAGGCTCTGTTCTTAAACTGGCTTTGTTTCTTTTAGAGATTAATGACAGAACCTTTACTATTTTCCATGTAGTCTTTTTGGAGTTTGTATATAATTTAATTTAGCTGGAAACACTTTCATCTTTCTGCTTTAATCATTAACTTAATGTAAAACAGACACAGTGATTAATCTCTGTTCATTGTGGTGATCTGTTTAAGTAGCAAGTTCTTGAATTGTTTTTCTAGTTAAAAATGCTAAGAAGATGAATAAGTCACTATTAAATTATTTGCTTCCATTTCTAGTGGGTGCTATTACAAACCTAAATCAAATTAAATGACTTTTCTCAATATAGGATATTACTGTAAATAACATTTTGGTTCTAGTTGATATGTGAATGATGACACTTATGAAGTTGCTAGATTAACAACACTTAATGGAAACGTGTTTTATACCTATTTAGAAGGTTCTAAGGAATTAATATATTCACAAACTTATGTAAGTTTGATTTAAACGAGTTATTTTAACTGTCTCCAGAAAAACTGAACATAAGAGGCATGACTGTAGTATACAATAATAATACTTAGGGCAGTTTAAGCATTCAGAGAAGAAGAAAGAGAGTGCTCAGATTTTAAGACATAATATTGGTGCTTAGATTCTGTTTTTTTTTTTTTAGTCTACAGACATACAGTATTTGTTGAAAATGTGAACAGACTAAATATGTGTGGGAAAAGGATAAAGAGGCTAAGGCACCAGATCTAATTATAATACCACTCCTTTTATCCAGAGTTCACTTAAGTATCAACCTCAACATCTGGAACATACCAGGAAGCCAGCAAAAATGGCCTCTGAGCAGCCAAAATGAACATCACAAAATTCATGCTGTCAAGTGTACAAGTAGGGCCAAGCTTTCACTCAGAGCTTCTTTACTCTGAATGGACTTACAGTTCTTTCAAGCTTGGGTATTTAGCTAGACCATTCAAAGTAGAATTTTTTTGATCCGCAGAATTACAGTATCCACAGTAATGGAAGAAACAAAAATCTATAAATAGCAGACATAACGTAAAGGTTGGAGTTTAGTTGTAGGACAAAGAGACCTATACATCTCAATAATCCCTAACAGACCCTCAGTATAATATGCAGCTGCTGCTGATCCTGAGTCATCATGAGAAAGTTAAAGTCCATTCAGTCAATTCCACCTAGATTGGCTGGGGATTAATAATTTATTTTAGATAGCCCTCTAACAAAAATAGATAACAATAGCTGAACAAAACTATTCAATGATATGCATATATCCAATTTTTATCATTATTTACTTTCTAGCAAATACCTGGCTCTCTTTTCTCGATCAAATCAAGGCTCTGTTCTTACTTAAATTGACTTGGATTCTTTGTAATAATGACTAACATTTTTTGAGGACTCACCATGTACTAGTAACTATTCTGAAAGCTTAAATCATATTCATGCTTAGAGGGGGTTAGCTTCAATTATCTGAAAAACTTTCAATTATATGAAACATTTAAATCCTCAAAGATACTGAGTAAGGCATTATTATGTTGTTACAAATAGTTTTCCAGTATCTAGTCAAGGCTTGTACTTACCTACAGGAACAAAAGGAGAGTCTCTAGATTTCCTGATCAGTCGGGACAATTGGCTTTCATCCTTATCTGCTGACCACTGGTTATCTGAAGACATCTTCTGTCTAGCAACAGTTGAGGATAAATGTGTAGTTGCTGTGAATCATTAAAAAGAACCCATTTACCCTCTCCCAATATACTCTTGATTATATGTTCATCTGTCTTTATTTGCTTGACATGCCCGTCTGCTCAACTGAAATACAGTCATCTTCAGACTTTTCATTACAGAATCCTTTCATTATGTTTTGGGGATGGTGTAAGAGAAGCATATATAAAGAGAGGGAATGATAATCAGATTCCATGCATGCAGAGTAAAAATTAACACAGTTCACAATTCTGTTATGCAGTCTTCTCTCACTGAGATATACTGCTCAGCGTTTGAGAACACTGGGAACCTCAGTACTTCTTCCACAAACCTTAAGAACTCAGAGATTCTTTTTCAAAGTCTCGTTTTAAAGGATGATGCTAGTGCCAAGGTGGGCAAAAATAATTTCAGATTTACAGGTGCTGGGAGAACGATCACTCCAATTCTGGAGAATGTGCAGGGCGTTATAAAGTCATTCAGATATTTACGAAGCACCTACTATGTGCCAGGTGCTATGCTAGACCACAGACATACCCCTCCTTGTCTACACAGGATGAATGAGGACACTCACAAGAGCAACTATAACCACAATCAAAACAGCTTAGCAGCACTTCAGTCTCTTAGTGCAATCGCTGTTTTCACCACAAAATTCAAATACAGTGGCTTCATCCTATGAATAAGCTTTCATCAGAAAATATAACCCGGTAAGTGGCAGAAGCACAATACCTTTGTCGAGTCCCACTACCTGCTGTCTGTCTCCTGAGCAGGAGGCTGTAGATCAGAACAGAAGTTGCAAGGCAGGGACACGTTTATGTGCATTTCCAACTAATAATGGGAAAGCCCAGAAACACACGGGGGCGGGGAAGGAGACTGGTATTGGCCAAGGTTTCCTCCACACCTACTGGAAACTCACTGGTAGCGGCACCTGGGCCTGAAGTAAATTTAAGGCTTCACAAGAAGATGCATTTACTTAATTCCCCTCGCCAATGGGGAGCTCCCAGCTTGCCTCTGCGGCCATGAGCCCCAGTTCTCGACCCCTGGGCCTGAATTCAACGGGAAGCTGGTGCATGGTTCCAACAGCAGGAGGAGGGGAGGGGCCTCGCCAGAGGGGCGCCCACCGCGACAGATATCCTGGGACGACGCGCCAGGACCCCGCCCGGGGCCATCTGGAGGCGGGGGCCCGCGCACCTGTGGCCCCTGCATAACTCCGAGCCTCGCGCGCGCTCTGCGGGGAATGACAGACATCACCCGCCCGTGGCCAATCAAAAGGCGGAGGACGTGCGCGGGAAGGGGCTGAGAGCGCCCGCTCAGCTGTCTCCGCGCTCCTGACCTGAGGGATTGTGTGTGGCCCGAGAACAGGTGTGTGGGAGAAAGGCAGGAGTCAGTCGTAGGCGCTGCCTTCACTTCCGACTGGCCTTTGCTGCCTTGAGACCTCTTGAGGCTTCAGACAAATCCTTGCTCACCGCTTCCCACCATCCGCCGTCTGCAGCCACACAGACCTGGGTATGAGGGCAGGGGATCAGGTAGCTTTTACTTATTTTTTTTTCTTTTATAACATAATTTTTAAATAATTTCAGCCAGAAAAGTTCCGAGAATAGTACAAAGAACTGTATGCCCAGCGCCTAGAGTTCCTGTTGTAAACATTTAGCCACATTTGCTTTATCATTTCTCTCTAGATACGAATTTTTTCCCCCCAGAACCATCTGAGAGTAAATTGCAGATTAGCGAGTGTGTCTTTACCCCTGTATACCTTTGTATTTAGAGCGTTCTCTTACATATCCCGTAGCACAATAATAAAAATCAGGAAATTCACATTGATGTAATACTGTTATCACTGTTATCCAACAATCTAAAGACTTTATTCATAGCTCACCAATTGTCCCAATAATGTGCTTAAATAGCAAACAATTATTTTCTTCCTCGTCCAGGATCCAACTAGGATCACAAATTGCATTTAGTTATCATGTCTCTCTGCCGTCCAGTTGATTCTGACTGGTAGCGACCCAATACAACAGAGTAGAATTGCCCCATAGTTTTTCCAGGGAGCGGCTGGTGGATTAGAATGCCGACCTTTTTGGTTAGCAGCCAAACTCTTAACCACCAGGGCATGTCTCTTTAGTTTCCTTTAATCTGAAACAGTTACTCAGTCTGTCTTTGTCTGTCACGACCTTAATATTTTGACAGTGCAGGCCAGTTGTTTTGTAGGATGGCTCCCAATTTAGGCTTGTCTGATGTTTTCTCATCATTACATTGAGACTACGCATTTTTGACAGAATACCACCTAAGTGATGTTGTATGCTCCGTGTGTGTTACTCAGTGTTGATAACTTTGATCCAGTGTTGAGCTGAGACATGTTTAACAGCTGGTTCTCCAGAAGAAGAAAAAAGGAGTAGTAGCCCTGATTTGTAGCATTTGCCCGTTTCCATGATGTAAATACGACCAGTGAGGCCAATTTCAAGCTACTGTCCTGACGTCACTGAACACGGAATTGGGAAGAGATGTGCACAGTTGCCGCTCGTGAGTTGGTACGAGTCAGCTCTAGCACACCACTGCTTTGGCTGCTTGGGTTAAAGTAGTCTCTGCCAGGTTCTCCACAGTAAAGTTACTGTTTTATCCCTTTGTAATTAATAAATATTTTATGAGGAGACACTTTAGTATTATACAGATATTTTGTTATTCGTCGAACTTTCACCTATTAGTTTCAGCATCCTTTGCAAAGGACCATGTTCCTTGCCTGAATCAATGAAATCTGTGTTTGCCAAATGGTGATTTTCTAAATCTATCATTCCTTTTACATTTATTAGTTGACATTATACTATAAGGAATAGCTTTCCCTTCTTTCCTACTTATTTAATTATTCACTATTTATATAAATATGGACTCATGGATTCCTGTTTTATTCAGTGGTTTATAATCCAGTTACTACAATTATTTATTTTAATGGTCAAATTGTCCCAGATTTGGCTAGTGTGAGCCCCTTCAAGCTGGCTCCTGTGTCTTTTTTTTTTTAATGTGGTAAAATATGTATAACATAAAATTTTCCACTTTAACTATTTTTAAGTGTACAATTCAGTGGCATTAATTACATTCACAATGTTGGGCAATCATCACCACTGTTTCCAAAACTTTCTCATCACCCCAAACACAAACTCAGTACCCATTAAGCAATAACTCTTTATCCCCACGCCGTAACCACTAATAACCTTTTGTCTCTATGCATTTGCCTATCGCAGATATTTCATGTAAGTGGGATCATACAATATTTGTTCTTTTGTATCTGTCTTATTTCATTCAGCATAATATTTTCAAGGTGTTGTAGCATGTATCAAAACTATATTTCTCTTTATGGCTGAATAATATTCCATTGTATGTATATACCACATTTTGTTTATCTATTCCTCTGCTGATGGACAGTTGGATTGTCTCCACCTTTTGGCTATTGTGAGTAACTGCAATGAACCTTAGTGTCTAAGTTCCTATTTGTTTTTGACACATTCCCATCATTCTTTGAACACTTCCTTATATCCTGGCATAACACATTATTCCAGGCTGAACTTGTTCTTTCCCTGTCCCGGCGTTGAAATCAACTATTTCTTCAAGGAGGCTTGGTTCATTTTATTGGAGAAAGGAATTGAGAAACCAAGATCTGAGCATTAGGGGTGCTCATTCTTACTGCAGTGTCATTGCTTCTAGGCCCTCTCAGCAGACAGGGTTAGGATTTATATGCACATCTATACCTACATCTATGTATCTATCTGTCTATGTTGGAAAAATATATATATTATTTTATATCTATCTATATTAAAAACCATAATTTGATACTCATATCTATGTTATGGGTTGATTTGTGTCCCCCCAAAAGATACATTTAAGACCTAACCCCCTAGTACCTGTGAATGTGACCTTTTTGGAAAGATCATGTTTGCAGATGTAATCAGTTAACCTAATGTCATCCTGGAGTAGGGTGGGCCCTAATCCAATATGACTGGCATCCTTATAAGAAAAGGAGAAGAGAAACAGAGACAGAGATACACAGGGAAGCTAGCTGTGTGATGTCAGAGGAAGAGACTGAGTAATGTATCTACAAGCCAAGGAATGTCTTGGGCTACCAAAACCTGGAAAGGCAAGGAAGGATCCTCCACTAGAGGCTTCATCTGAAGCATGGTTCTGCCAACACCTTGATTTCAGACTCCTGGGTTCCAGAACTGTGAGAGAATAATTTCTGTTGTTTTAAGCCACCCAGGTTGTGGTACATTGTTATTATTTTGTATTAGCCTGAGGAAACTAATACAATCTCCAATTTCAATCCAGCTCCACATGGTTCATTCTAATCTCCCTTTTCATATTTGTGATTCCCTTCTCTCACTATGGAGCCCTGATGGTGCGGTGGTTAAGAGCTCAGCTGCTAACCAAAAGGTTGGCAGTTTCAATCCACCAGCCATTCCTTGGAAACCCTATGGGGTAGTTCTACTCTGTCCTATAGGGTCGCTATGAGTCGGAATTGACTCAACAGCAAAGGATTTTTGGTCTCTCAGTATGAGAAACCTAGCTCCCATTATCCTCAATATATTTATTTGCTCAATTCTAGAATACAAAAAAGAAGTTTCAGAATTTCTAATCCATACATCTGTGAAAAGGAACCCTGGTGACGCAGCAATTAAGCGCCCAGCTGCTAACCGAAAAGTTGGTGATTCAAACCCACTAGCTGTGGCAGATGTGGCAATCTGCTTCTGTAAAGATTACAGTCTTGGAAACCCTATGAGGCAGTTCTACTCTGTCCTATAAGGCTGCTATGAGTTGGGACCAGGGATGGATTACTCAGTAAGCAAGGTACGAATGGGCTTACTTGCGCTTACTTAGTAATCTGTAATGCACAACTTCATCTGTGGTGAAAAACAGGTGAAATTGTGCACTACAGATTAGCAAGTGAACACGGTGTGTACCTTGCTTACTGGTTAATCCACCCCTGGATG